TTTAGTTATAGTGAGTTCTTCTAGTGAAGACTGAATACTGTGATGCAAAAAAGACTGAATACTGATTCTTGTACGATGTCACCCGTTATCGAGCGAGACCACATTGGGACCTAGGCAACACTCGGGGCCTCCATTGTGTACATGCAGGCAAAGCAAAAGGCACGAAGAGTCAGAATTTAATCCGATACAGTAAACGATACATCGATGGAAGGGTTTCTATCGATAATCAATGTTCATGAGGCTTGCGACGCCAGCGTTCGTGGCCGCGGCCGCCCCAATTGCAGCGCTCTCCACGAACATATCTATCCACGGTAGGTTAGGTCGAGCCTGGTAATAACCCACCAAATGCTAAAATTGTAATATAGTGGTAGAAAGGTCAAACCCACAAGGACAGAGTCAACACACAGAGTGTAAAGTGTCACATTTAACATATTATTGAAGAGTTTGAATTCTCAGGCGACTGTCATTCCCAGAAATACTGCAAGTGTTCACTTAGAGATCACTCGGAGGTTGCATAATGCAGCGTAGTTCACTCAACCCACACACACACACCTGAAACTATCGAAACATAACTCAGAGATCGGTTAGGACCTCTACTTAAGATTTCAGGAGTAAAGTCTCTCATGAATACACTTAGAGAATCTGCGGGTAATGACTCCCAACTCCGGCTTTTACAACCCTTCCACTAGTTTCTGCTAGCATAGGGAACCCGGAGTGGACTTCCTACTTCGGATCGAAGTCACTCACACGTAGTGAATAACACACTCAACTCACAAACGCGCAGAGAACACAGGTCCGAACTATGAGATTCAACTCAGAAACGATCCAATAGCACACCATAACAGTCTATTGAAGAGTTTGAATTCTTAAGCACTTGTCATTCCCAGAAATACTAAAGGGGTTGCCCTGAAAGCACCTGTTGCAGCGTAACCTAAATTACAACCAAGGCTTACTCGAAGTAACAAAACTTCACTTTGGCATTTAGAGGAAAAATCCCGAAGGAGTGCAATCAGGAACAATCACTCGAAAGTGTAAGGGGGAACTGTTCAAATATCTAACTAGTGACTAGCTCTTAGCATCGGCGATCACCCGCAGGTGTAGATCCGAACTACTCAAGTCTCTAACCAGTACACTAGCTCTGAACATTCGGCCGAAGGCCTTCAGCTACAAAATGCGGATCGCCAAGTTGTAGCTCCTTTTGCGCGGTGACAGAACTAAGGACACAAACACGCAGAGAAAATGAGTTCCTGATCTACACTTCCGAAACTGGAAGAATCCCAAAGCAAGACGCCTTGAATTACTTTATACCTTCTAAGTCCTAACTAACACTACACTACCTGCACTACATGCCTGCACGGAACCACGCTACGCTACACTCTGCATATCCCGTGCTTCGCCTTTTGCGCGACGGACTGCCGCGCACTAACTCCCTACCCGCCCAGTCTTCCGCTTGACTGCGCAGTCCCAACCGCCGCAACACCGCAGTAACCTCCGCCTCGAGGGTGGCCATGGCGTCCCGCGACTTTGACAGAAACGAATCTAACTTCTTCCCCACTCGCCGCCGGCTCCGACTATCACCTAACACCAAACCCGCCGCACGAAGCTCTAACTCCCGCAGTGTGAGTTTCTCCTGCGCCGCCACTTCCCAGTGGGTGTAACCTCTGAGATAGTGGCTGACTCGCCCCACCAACTCCTCTTTCGTGCGATTTGCCTCCCGCCGGTGATCGTCTTTAACTACCACTCTGCGTCCGCACGTTGCGCTCTCAATTCCCCGCACTCCGATTGTAGTTTGCGGATTAACTCTTCATCCGCCTAACGTGCGAGCTGACACTGCTCCAGCAACCGTGTCTGCCGCACGAGCTCCTCTGACAAAATTTGATTCTAAGTCTGCTTAGAATCCAGCTCATCTGCGAGCTTCGCCTTCTCCTTGGCGAACTCCTTCGTCGCCTCTTCAAGTTTCTCATCGCGCAACTTGTCGACGGCCTGGTGCACCTTCCGCGTAAGAGCAATGTGGCCCAGAAGGCACTCATTCTTCTCCCGCAGATCTTTAATGTCCCCATCCAGACGTGCCAACAACTTGCTGGTGCGGACTTCAGTGCGAGTCTGCCTACACACTAACTCGACGTAGGACCCAAGCTAGCGGGGGTCTGCATTCTTCGTCACCTTGCGATCAAGATACCTCAACAGAGATACCACCTGCTCGCAAAGTGTCGCCGTCGGCGTGCCTGCCACCGATTGCTTCTCCTCCTCACTCGATCTCGATCCTGATTCCGTTTCTCCTTCTCCGTCATCCTCCGAATTGAGGATTTTGGTCGCCACTGAATTCTCTGGCGATTCTCGTGAGTGGGGCTTCGTAGTGTCTGCGTCGTCTGCTGCCGCTGCTGCCTCACTGCTCCCGGCCAGAATGTCTAAGGCGGTGGGGGATTTTGGTTGTGCCAAACTTGCACCGCTCATCCGTCCTGGTTCTACCAACTTCGCATTGCCGAAGGCGTTCACCGCCGAAGGCGTTTGTGCGGAAGGCGGACCGTACGGAGTTGCTACCCCCGAAGGCGCTTACCTAATCTTGATGCGCTGGCGCCGAAGGCACCGTACGAAGAAATTCACCCCAAAGGCGAACATCTAGGGCCAAAGGCGGCTGAGTCGAAAGCGGCTCGTCCGTTGACCTAGCCCTTCCGCCGAAGGCGTTCCCTTTCCGTATCTTCCAATAATCATAACTCCTTCAGTCATTATTTGTTCCAATTGTTCTTGGGCTCGTTAGAAGAAGCGTGTCGAGCTCTTTCCGACGAGACCCTAACCAAGTCAAGGCGTTGTGAATTGAATAAGTTCTGAGGGATTTCCCTAGCGCTGAAGGCGGATTATGCGCCTTGCGCCGAAGGAGATCTACTTCAGAATTGATCGTTCAGGTCGGGGCGTCTATTCCGGACATTGCGCCCAAATCCTAGATTCTGCGAGATCATACAAGACCCGCGATTATCCATCTTCACTCTATTTAATTTGTACCGATTACCATTTACACGGCTGATGCGGTAATGTTTTCTAAAAAATATTTTAAATACTGCACAAAAACAAAAAGTGGATTACCACAGTGATATGGAGGAAAACATGGAAAAAATCCATATCCACCAGGAGGAGAGTAGGAGGACGATGGAAGCGAGTTAGATCTTCCCTCGGTGCCCGTGAAGGAGGAAGACGGAGCTCCATATCCACCAGGTGTAAAGTACAAGGATTTGGGCACAGATGATTTCCATCTGTGCATCCACCGGTAGGCGGCGAGGAGGAGGAAACAGGAGTCGGAACTCATATCCATCGGCTGCCGGTGGAGACTAGGATGATGGAGGTGAGGTAGATTGTCCGTCAGTGTCTGGTGGGAAGGAGTAAGACGGAGCTCCACATCCACCAGGAGGAGAGGAAGAGATGGTGTACAAATTGCATTACACAAATTGGACATACACTGTCCAAGTTCAGCTATCTTCTGGTTGCGGAATCTGATTGACCCCATTGCTTCTTAAACCATGCCAAACAAAAGCGAAGATTGAGGTTTATTTTTGCCACTATCTGATTTAGAAGAGTCCTGAGTAGGGCCGACAGAGTAGCAAGTAGCGATTGAGATTACTTACCACATGGTACCATATAGCTTTGGGATTATGTGAATATCGCAGAAGGTTTTCGATGCAGTGAACCAATGCGTCGAGATACCGCCCAGAATTTTTTTCAGATACCGACCAAAAGGTATTCAACACATGCATGCATCGAAAACCTTCTGGTCGCTATCTCGACACATTGGCTCACAGCATCTAGTAAATCGCTCGACCCATTGTTTTCATTTGGATGAGGATGCACGATTTTCATACACTGTTTGTTTGTTGCTGTTTTCGATTTATCAACTCATTTCACAATGGATTCACAGTTGATTTGCTGATAAAAAGCGAGCTCTCTACAACGATAGCTGTATCTTCGAAAAGATACTGATTCATCAAAAGTCTGCCCCTTTATACCTGTAGCCCGAGGCTTCACACCAAAATCTTCTCATCTCAACCGCACAACAAATTGAGTTTCAAAATTCCTTGTGAAAATAATCCTAACAGCTCGTTTCAGAACTTTTTTAATGGTTTGAGTCCAATTCTCGCTCCAGGAATGATAAGTTCAGGCAAGTACCAGTTAGCAGTTAAACAGATGTAATCAGATATGTTTCTGTGCTCGATGGTGAGCTGGGTCTAATACGGTTCTCTGGAAGTATTGGTCGTGGTTATAACAGACATGACATTTCAAATGTTTTGAACGGATGCCAAATGGAATTCGATGGTTGTACTTCCAAAGAGAAGTCATCTGAAATGTATTCGGCTGTTGAGTGTCTCATCGGTCCATAATCGGTAGGCAGACAAGGTCCGTGTCTGGATCCAGCCAGAGAATACATTGTCATGCACACCTTGTTATACAGACAATTCGAAGTCAACAGTAAATAACACAGATTCGAATAATGCACCTCACATTCTTCACCGTTCTTACCATGCCGTTGCACCACAGATCTATCGTGACATTCCTAAGTACGGGATCGAAATATCTACTCGAGACATTCCTATGACATGCTTCTGCTTGGTCACAAACTCCCAGATCGAGCTTCCGGGGGCTTGATTGCAACAAAGACAAGTTGCAAGTTAATGAAAATTCATTCTGAACAGACAATCGTTCCAAATCTGATGTTCTATTTCTTTTTTGTCTCTATGACTGAAATGGTCCCCTCTGCAAACGCACACACAGACCTGTCAACGCGCATCGTACTATCTGAACCTTTTTATCGAGTTTCAAATCGAAATATACCGTGAAATTGGAGAATATACGTCTCCTGACTGAGTCTCCTGTCTTTATCCGTTTTCGACTGAAAGTCTATGTTTGAGTTGAAAATTGATTTTCCTGCCAGAGATTTAAAGGTCGCCATGCACTTCTTCTATAATTAAGAACAATACAGATTTCCAAACAAAAGATTCACATATATCGCAACTCCCTCTCCAAAATGTGTATTACGATTGAGCTTTCTGAAATCCACTCAGCTATAAATGGAGACGACGTTTGCTCTTTCCCAGCCTCAAGCTACTCGTAACGACTGATAACAAGGTACAACCACAATGCCCTACCAGGGTTTCGAGTTATGCTTAAAAGTGGTTGTACTAATTTATCACAACTTTAAATCTCATCTACAGTATATCAGTCAGTACTAAGCCAAAGTAGAAGCAATTACAATGCGCTGTATTCAGAGACACGATTCTCACTACACTCTCTGTCATCTTCACGGCAGGCAGCGATGGAGTGCCCTCCTATGAAATTCTCATCCCATCCCACTGATGTGCAAGTGCTGAATGTACTGAGATAACAGTCGTATATGTCCACCACTTCAGTAAAGATGAAACTCGGAGTCGCTCGACGGCCGCAGCTATTCGTAGAGCAAGTCTAGTAAGGAAGCTGACCGACAACGTTTCCCGGGGGGTCGTAGCTGCAAACGACGAACAAGGCACCAGAGGGACAAGTGGCCGACCCGCATCCCAGCGCCGCTGTGTCCCTCCACACGACCTGTTGCAAAGAGTGCGACCCGTGTCAAAACCCGCGAAGCTCATCACATCTACTGCACGCCCGACTGTGGGAAAAACACAGACACAAAAATTGACTTCCAGTTTCTCGTCCCATTCATGAGTTTCCAGAGAATGCGTGAAGCCCCTCATCTTTTTTACATCTGTCGGAACAGCTCTATCCTGATACAGGTCCTGGGCTCGTGGTTAGTTCGCAAGAGCTAGAAATCTCTGAAAATCATACTACGGCGGAAAGCCATGGAAACATAACTTCGCGCACACCAGGCAAGAAAAGCACGAGAAGAATTTGCATGGGACCTGCGTGTAATGGGATGCAATCATCGTCTCCCCACTCACTTTCGACTCTACTTCCGTCGCTCTGAGACCGTGCCACATTGTGCGTTATCATGTAGGCGTCTCCAGAGAAGGGACTATCTGTTGATGGTTCGCTCGTTCGACTTCCCGTTGACTCTCGCCGGGTAGTAGCGAAAGATAGACCTTTTCCAGGGTCGGAACTGCCTTCTCAATTATCTTCTCCTCACAAGAAGGGTGTCCTCGTTTCCTTACAATCATCACTCCAATAGCTGTGACCATAGCACCGCCGGCAAGAAGAACCCAATTAGGACCCTCTTTCCGAATGACATGATGGGCTACTGCGATGGACTTTCCCTTTCGGCGACCGGCAGCTTGCTGATTCGCGATTAGCGTCTTCACATTTGGGCCTCTCGGTTGACTTCCATCCACCGCTTGTCCAGGTGGCCTCGGAGGTTTTGTTGGTCTTGAATCAGAATAAGATTCATAGTCTCGAGGATTTTTCTGCGTTTGCAGATCATGCTCGTGAGGGGTGAAAAAGGTCCCCCCTCCTTCGTCTCGCTCAGCTTCCATTGGGCCATGCAGCGGAACACACTACTTCTGTGTAGTCAGCCTTGTAAATTTTCCCGGTCAGCTCACCTCACTCTTTTCACACCCAGTCGGCGGTCCTTATTTTCATTCTCTTTCTTACTCCCTCCCCATTGACACCGGCCAGAATTCTTCATGCGAACTATCTCCCTTTCCTCTGAATCTTCATTCTTAACCTGCTTTACTATGCATGATGTCAAACAAATTCGACGGCATGATAACAAAGATCAGGCACAAGTAATGCAACTCCTTCATCGTCCGATTTGAGTCTCTCGGACAGACCTCAAAACCAACTATCTCCAACGCTTGCTAGTGTAGGAGGATCTCGAAAAGCTAGGCTGTTGGTGTAGGCGGATGGGAGAACACTAGTGCCGTGCAGACGACCTCCGCACCACAAAATCACAATCCCAGAGCTTGTCCACTCTAGATCCGTTTCTCCTCTCCTCCTTCCCCGGGTCCAACATGGATTATTCCGGCGAGTCCTTCCCTTCTAACCCTCACGGCACCTGCCCCTCCATTCCATCGGTCTCCCCGGATCCATCCCATACTCAAAAGGTATAAATTTGCAAAATTTGTAATACAACACCAAGCATAAATTCCTAAGAACTTAAGTTCAAAATTTAAACTCTCGTGGCGCTTAAATGGCATGGGAGCGCATTTTTGTGCTCACAGGTCTTCAATTCTGCCATTAGGCACCTGCCGAGAGGGTGACAGTTCTAGGGCCTGCAGCCGCAGGCTGTGGGCGGCGCAGGTCCAACAAGGGGTGGGAAGTCGATCGAGGGGAAAGTGGGAAATGTGGAAGATTAGTGTTAATTCGGGCGGAGGTGCTATTGATGCCGCTGAGGGTCTGGAATCCAACCGTATAAGCCGATGATTCGACCATAAAAATGGTTCTGAGACGAGATGCTACGATGAGATGTTACAATTTTACTAAGGAAGAATTTTGAATATAAAAATTTATTCCTCGACTGAGCTGAGTTATGGAAGGACTTTAGTGTGAAGCCTTGTGTGACAGCTATAAGGACGCGAGTTGTTGATGAATCAGTATTTTTTCAACGATATAACAACCATTGGCAAGTTCTGTCGTTGTATAAAGCTCACTTTATCAACAAGCCAATGTTATCGCCCCTTTGTAAATCAAATACGTGTTGAAAACATCAACATCTAGTGTATGAAAGTCATGAGTCCTCAGTCAACTGAGAACAATGGGGTCGAGCAATAGGCCTTTATCATCATCTCTGTGACTAGCTTTAGCTCTAATTGCTTGAATTGATACTCTGGCTGTTGTGAGCCAAGGCGTCGAGACGATGTATCCGCATGTGTCAATAACTTTATGCGAGATTCACGCTATCCCAAGATAATACGATTGCGAAGAGCATGAGGTCAGAGGTCTCTACCACTACTGTTGGCTCTACTCATCAGTATTCTAATTCAAAAGAGTGGCAATATAAAACACCAACCTTCGCATTGGTGTTGTCATCGTTCAACCAACCATGGCGCCATTCAGATTCTGCAACCAGAAGATAGCTGGACGTGGTATGTGTAGAGGCCGTACACTTGATTCAACAAGCCACCTCCTGGTCCTCAGGCGGTAGCCATGAACAAAAGTACTCTTCTAAGAAGCTCATAAATTCTCGCTTCCCAGTTGGTGGTCAAGCGGGCGTATTCGGAGCCCAAATATTGTCTTCCTACTCTCCACCTGTGGATGTGTACTCCTTCCTCCTCTTCTCGCTATACGTTAATGAAAGTTTCAGCTCTCCCTTGCAGATATCTTTTGAGCAATATTGTATTTGCATGTCTTGTAGGCCCTTTGTCCATATCAAGAAATTTGCTCCGCCTCAAGCATGTATTAAATTCAAATGATCGAGCAGCTACGAAGTATCACATTTCAGCTTACGTTGTGAGTGATGATTATTATTCATAGATCATCAGATATATTTATCCATCCAAGAGCCTTCTCGGATGACATCGCTCTCATATGGACTTTGGACTCATCCTTCCATTCAGTAGTCTTCAATAAATTGGTCTAGCACGCCACAATCGTGATAGCTCGAAAACGTATGCAACCATTGATGGGAGAGCGTGTATTGGTGTGGCTCCATCACTACAGACATAGTAGAGCAGAAAGCATGAAAGTTGAAGGGGGCGCGCATGCACACGTTTATGACGTTTACAAACCGCTGATGTCTGAGAGTGTAATAACCCACCAAAGGCTAAAACTGCAATATAGTGGTAAAAAGGTCGAACCCACAGGGACAGAGGAACACACAGGTACAAAGTGTCACATTTAACAGACTATTGAGGAGTTTGAATTCTCAGGCGACTGTCACTCCCAGAAATACTGCAAGTGTTCACTCGGAGCTCACTCGAAGGTCGCACAGTGCGGCGTAGTTCACTCAACACACACACACACACACACACACCTGAAACTACAGAAACACAACCCAAAGATCGGTTAGGACCTCTACTCAAGATTTCAGAGGGAAAAGTCTCTCGCGAGTACTCAGCGAAGCTGCGGGTAGTGACTCCCAACTCCGGCTTTTACAACCCTTCCACTAGTGTAGGGAATCCGGATTGGACTTCCTACTTCGGATCAAAGTCACTCACACGCGGTGAACAATACTCTCAACTCACAAAACGCGCAGAGAACACAGGTCCGCGTGGAAGGACTCACTGAGAAACGTTCCAGTATCACACTATAACAGTCTATTGAAGAGTTTGAATTCTCAAGCACTTGTTATTCCCAGAAATACTACATGGGTTACCCTGAAGGCACCTGCTGCAGCGTAACCTGAATTTACAACCAAGGCTTACACGAAGTAACAAAACTTCACTTTGGCATTCAGGGGAAAAATCCCGAAGGAGTACAATCAGAAACAATCACTCGAAGGTGTAAGGGGGAAACTATTCAAGTATCTAACTCATCACTAGCTCTGAGCATCGGCAATCACCCGTAGGTGTAGATCCGAACTACTCAAGTCTCTAACCAATGTACTAGCTCTGAACATTCGGCCGAAGTCCTTCAGCTACACAATGCGGACCACCAAGGTGTAGCTCCTCTTGCGTGGTGACAGAACTAAGGACACAAACACGCAGAGAAAATGAGTTCCTGATCTGCACTTCCGAAACTGGAAAAATCCCAAGGCAAGACGCCTTGAACTACTTTATGCCTTCTAAGTCCTAACTAACACTACAGTGCAATGCCATGGTGCGAGCTGCAACAGATCCTACACCTGAGGAGTAGGCGGCTGCCTTCGCCTCTAACTTACAACCTAAATCTAACCCTAACCCAAATCTGAATCCTAAGCCTACTGTACAGAGCCGCCAGCGCCTTTACATCCAAGATCTGAGGCTGAAAATTTGCAAGCATGCGTGGCCGGCCGAGATCGACGGCCCCATCAAATTTCAGATCCATCCGACAGTCCATCGCAAAGATATGGGCCCCGCAAGATCTCTTAACCTAGGCCAAAATTCCTTCTTCAAAATCCGAGGTCCGTGGGACCCACATGCCGCTTGAATGCCGTTCCCGCGATTATGGGTAACGGCCTGCTCCTCACGCCCGACTTCACTTCCCACACTTGACATAATCCCGCCAACTTCCGTCATCGGGAATCTTCTGCCATGTGGCACCGAAGGCCCTTGCCCCGAAGACCCTTAAGCCGAAGTCGGATCTTCCGCCGGCTCCTTTACTTTCCTGCGCTGCACCGGAGGTGAGTCTCGCCTATGCGTAGGCGCTCGCCTATGTGCAGGCAGTCTCCCGTCCGCATGGAGTCGCCTATCCGCAGGGAGTCTCCCGTCCGCATGGAGTTGTGTTAAACCACTTTTTGTTTTTTGTCGGAACTAAAACATTTTTGAATAGTAAGTACCGCGGCAGCAGCTGTAAATAGTAATCGGTAAGCAAAACCAGAGTAAAAAGAGGATCGAGGACAGTCAAGGGGTTTTGGGCTTAGGCCACAGTGGGACGCTTGGGACGGAACGGGCGGTTCATGCTGCAGGATCAGCTTCGAGCACCTTCGGCGGTAGATCACTCATAACCTTCTCAATTCGTAACGCCTTGAGTTGTTTCGGGTCTTGTTGCAAAGAGCTCGCGACGCTCGTTCTAACGAGACCAAGAACTTGTGAAACCGATGAGAGGTCACTGAGTTATGAGTGTCGGAAGTTACTGATAGGGGCCTTCGGCGGTAGAGCGACTTTGGCGGTACGCCTTCGGCGGAAGAACCGCCGGAAGATGCGCCTTGGGCGGTAGACGCCTTCGGTCAACGCCTTCGGGTCAACGCCTTCGGCGATACGGGAGAGTGCATTCGGCGGAAGAGTGAAACCCTCATAACTTTCTCAATGCGCCCTAGAAATGCGCCTTGTGAGGTAGAAAGTGTACGGCGCCTTCTGCGCCAGCTCAGCGCCGCGGACGGACAGGTCAGCGCAGCGGACGGACAGCTCAGCGCCGCGGACGGCCAGGTCATCGCCGCGGACGGACTGTGGATAGGCGAACGCCTTCGGCGG